CCGCTCCCTCCCCCCCCTCTCTGTCCCCCCCCCCCTTCCCTCTCATATGGTGATTGGTGGTTCAGGCTGTCACTCAGAAAAATTGTATCACCCCACATAAAAAATATGTTCAATATAGACCCAGACACTGTAAAAAAGGGGGGGCACCTTTGTCTGTATTTTTGCATCAGGTGCGTGTCCATTAGGCCTGTAAAGTGCACAGAGAAATGGCCTGGGCTCGTTAATGACGTCCAGGTCCACCTGCTTCACCAAACCAGTGGTTAAGAAAAAATAGAAATACCACAGTGTACCACAAAAGTACTGCAATCAAAATATAGCTTAAGTAAAAGTACAAAGTATTAGCATCAAAATATAAAGTACCAAAAGTAAAAGTACTTGTCAATATCAAATTATTTACATAGCACATTTAAAAACAACAATAGTTGGCCAAAGGGCTTTACAAAATAACACACTGTGACAAAATAATATAAGGGTTTTATGAACCATCATATCAAAGGCCACAGAGAGATCTACAGTCATGGGAGCAGCACAGTCTCCAGAATCAGTCGTCAACAACAAGTCAGAAGGGAGTCACAGCCCTGGAGCATTCAGAAACCAGACTCGTATATCTCACAAATGCCATGCATGTCTAACAAAGACTGAAGTTGGATAAACGCTGATTTTTTTTCCCAGAATTCATTATGTAGAATGGCACATTTTACATTTTAGTAGTTAACATGTATCAAATAAATGTAGTGGAGTACAAAGTATAATATAAGTCAAAGTATGAAGTAGCAGAAAATGAAAATACTCAAGTATAGATGCTTCAAAATTGTACTCAAGTACAGTACTTGAGTAAATGTACTTAGTTACTTTCCAGCACTGCACCAAACCACTGGACTGCGATGAATCCCAGGGTAGTCACAGTGGCACCAATACGCTTCAAGAGCTTTGTTCTTTTCTTGAAACGATGCCGCCCCCTGCTGGGTGATATGTGAAGTGCAAACCCCATTTCAAGAGGAGCTGGGACATTTTCCGAACTGAAATAAAATCTAAAATCTGTGATTTGTTGATTCGCTTGAACATTTATTTAACTGACAAAAGTACAAAGAAAAGGTTAGTCAATTAGATGTCTCTGTGTACCCTGGGATTCACCGTTTTAGAAGTCATGTCTGCCATCGAAGTGATTTTGAAACTCTTATTTTAATGTAAAAATGTTACGTAGTGTTGCTTTACCAGGCATTCTTTAAAATATTTACCATTCTTTCATTTGTATGCTACATTTACATTCAAATCAATCTGCAAACGCAACTCAAGCTGTGTTTGTGCATCCTCTGTCCACAAAGTGTAGGTTTAGTGGTTGGTCAGGCACCAGAACAGTGCGGCTGATGCTTTTTAAGTCTCCCTTTGTGGGGTCTGGTTTGATTTTAAACAGCCTGATTACCTAGGAAAAAAAGAGAAACATGGAGTTACTGAAGTCACTTTTTACTGACCTGAATGAAAGACCGTGCAAACAGTTTCCTCATAACTGCCATATTTATTACACACAAAATGTTCAGTACCATGTGACTCTCATATTTAGTTGTTGGTGGGAATGATGGCGATTTTTTTAACTTTAAAGCTGCATTAATCAATGATTTAACGTCACTGAGTAATCTACAAGGGTCACTCATAGCCAACTTTGCACAACATTTTGCATCTTTCATCTCACTGTTTTGGTTTTATTGCCCACAGAACTGTTCTCATCAACTTCATTTTCAGTGGCTGCAGGCAGCTGTTTTCAGTTTAAAGACAATGATAAACCTACAGCAAACTACCTGCCCAGCAGTCTTTGATCACAAAGGCCTTGGAAACTTATTTATGTAATCAGTAGATGTTGCAAAAGGTTTTCCAGTTGTTTCTTACCCTAAACAGAACCATATACATCTCAAGCTCAGCAATTCGACGACCAACACAGCTTCTCACTCCAAAGCCAAATGGGATAGACCCAAAGGGGTATGGCCTCTCACGGCCATCACGGAGCCATCTCTCTGGCCTAAACGTGAACGGTTCTGGGAAAGTGTCCTCATCATGACTGATGGCATAGTGACAAAATGCAAATGTAGTCTGGAGAAAGAACAGTCAAAAGATACAGTACTGAAACTCTACTCTTACATGTTCATATACACAGTATACAGTTTTTGGGCCTTTTTGAAGAAAACGTGCTCTGGCTATTAATAGCATTATTATTCTAGTAAGAAGTTATAGTTAGTAGAGATGTCTCAATCTGATATTAAGTATCTGTATTGATCTGGGCAATTTTCACAGGATCGGCCAGAATAAAGAGTAACTTACTGAGTTACTAGTACTTAGAGTTACTTTATTTTAGTTACAGTAAAATCGTGAGATTTTATTGATCTCCAGTTGGATATTCACAAGCTACCCAGGAGTAATTCACATTATGACCATCCAGGGTTTTTAACACTAGCTCCACCCGTGTTTTGGAAGCACTCAGAGTCCAATACACAATCACTTCAATATACCAAAGTGTTTGATGGCAGAGCTATGGCAAATAAACAGGAAAATCCTTCAGATTTAGTGTGGTGCATTTGCTACTGTTTTGTGCATGTTCACATTGACCCCAACACAATTATTAATTAATGCTGAGAGAGGCACTTTTGATAAACTTGGCAAAAGGGCAGGGGCTTGAGGCCCTAGAGCTCCTAGAACATGCCTGCCGATACTTTGTATCAGATCAAGACATCACTAGTAGGCTAATTACCAAGACTAAACCTCCTGTACTAACCAGTGAGGTTTCTCTCAAAGTAAATACAAGTACACGCAAACCAGTAATGGTTAATGGTTAAATAAATCAGACCCACTTTCTTTGTAAACTGATATCCACTGATGGTAACATCCTTTTCTGTTATGATCCTTGCAGTCAGGGGAACCACAGGGTACATCCTGCAAAACAAGAATTAATTTTACTTCCTTTAGACAAAGTGTGACATTTTGATGACAATGAAAATTGACTTTAAAATCTAGATAACCTCCTGGTATGACATTTGTAAGCCTTCTTACATAACTGGTGGTTGCAGTGGAAGCTGAACCCCAGCCATGATAACTCACTAACCAATCTCACCTCAGTACTTCGTTAATAACAGCCCTTAAATATTGCATCCGAGTGATCTCTTCAGCAGAGGGGATCTGGTCAGCTGGTATAAATGTGGACACTTCTTTGTAAAGTGTTTCCTGGATTTCAGGGTTCTTGGACAGCAGGTACAAAGTCCAAGTGAGGGTATTGGATGTCTTGACAAAGAAATGTCAAAAAGTAACAAAGCACAGTGAGATGCATACTTGTTTATATCTTACATGTACATGCAGGAGGGCTAAAGCAGAAAAGATTCTACTGCACAGTCCATTCCTTAATTCAAAACAAGGAATTTGAGTAGCAGCCCAGTTAATATTTTGCCATTTCAGGGTGATGGTTACGGATGAACAGTACACCATGAGGGTAAAATCCTCTCATAGAGCCACAAATGAGTAGGGGAGAGCGGGCAGGAATGTAACAGTGGGTAAGTTGTAAGACTGACCCGTCAGTAAAGGGCTGCAGTGACAATATCACTCTAAAAATGATTTCGGAGGGGGATATGGCATCATACTTACTGTGTCCACGCCAGCTAAAAGAAGCTCAGCAATGCTACCACAGACATCCTTACTGCTCATCTGAGTGTTCGAGAGGAGGTATGTTAGGTATTCACCCCCTCTACCCTTGTTGTTGTCCACTTGCTGCTGGATTGCCTCCAACCTCTTGTCAATCAACGTTTTAGCTAGAATAAATGCAGAAATGCATTTTGGATTCATCATATGGACTAAATTAACATCTAGACTTACAAAATCTAAAATAAAATAAAAAAAATCACTTTTTTAAAGAAATAGTGTGACATTTTGGGATTATATTACTTTGCTGTCTCACTGAGAGCCATACAGCCATTAGACTACACAGTCTGATGGCTGTATGCAGAATATGAAGCTAAAACCAACAAAGACTGGAAGCAAGCAAGCAAGCAAAATTTATTTATATAGCACCTTTCTAAACCTACACTGCCTTGCGAAAGTATTCGGCCCCCTTGAACTTTGCAACCTTTTGCCACATTTCAGGCTTCAAACATAAAGATATAAAACTGTAATTTTTTGTGAAGAATCAACAACAAGTGGGACACAATCATGAAGTGGAACAAAATTTATTGGATATTTCAAACTTTTTTAACAAATAAAAAACTGAAAAATTGGCCGTGCAAAATTATTCAGCCCCCTTAAGTTAATACTTGGTAGCGCCACCTTTTGCTGCGATTACAGCTGTAAGTCACTTGGGGTATGTCTCTATCAGTTTTGCACATCGAGAGACTGAAATTTTTGCCCATGCCTCCTTGCAAAACAGCTCGAGCTCAGTGAGGTTGGATGGAGAGCATTTGTGAACAGCAGTTTTCAGTTCTTTCCACAGATTCTCGAGTGGATTCAGGTCTGGACTTTGACTTGGCCATTCTAACACCTGGATATGTTTATTTGTGAACCATTCCATTGTAGATTTTGCTTTATGTTTTGGATCATTGTCTGGTTGGAAGACAAATCTCCGTCCCAGTCTCAGGTCTTTTGCAGACTCCATCAGGTTTCCTTCCAGAATGGTCCTGTATTGGGCTCCATCCATCTTCCCATCAATTTGAACCATCTTCCCTGTCCCTGCTGAAGAAAAGCAGCCCCAAACCATGATGCTGCCACCACCATGTTTGACAGTGGGGATGGTGTGTTCAGGGTGATGAGCTGTGTTGCTTTTACGCCAAACATAACGTTTTGCATTGTTGCCAAAAAGTTCGATTTTGGTTTCATCTGACCAGAGCACCTTCTTCCACATGTTTGGTGTGTCTCCCAGGTGGCTTGTGGCAAACTTTAAACAACACTTTTTATGGATATCTTTAAGAAATGGCTTTCTTCTTGCCACTCTTCCATAAAGGCCAGATTTGTGCAGTATACGACTGATTGTTGTCCTATGGACAGAGTCTCCCACCTCAGCTGTAGATCTCTGCAGTTCATCCAGAGTGATCATGGGCCGCTTGGCTGCATCTCTGATCAGTCTTCTCCTTGTATGAGCTGAAAGTTTAGAGGGACGGCCAGGTCTTGGTAGATTTGCAGTGGTCTGATACTCCTTCCATTTCAATATTATCACTTGCACAGTGCTCCTTGGGATGTTTAAAGCTTGGGAAATCTTTTTGTATCCAAATCCGGCTTTAAACTTCTCCACAACAGTATCTCGGACCTGCCTGGTGTGTTCCTTGTTCTTCATGATGCTCTCTGCGCTTTAAACGGACCTCTGAGACTATCACAGTGCAGGTGCATTTATACGGAGACTTGATTACACACAGGTGGATTCTATTTATCATCATTAGTCATTTAGGTCAACATTGGATCATTCAGAGATCCTCACTGAACTTCTGGAGAGAGTTTGCTGCACTGAAAGTAAAGGGGCTGAATAATTTTGCACGCCCAATTTTTCAGTTTTTTATTTGTTAAAAAAGTTTGAAATATCCAATAAATTTCGTTCCACTTCATGATTGTGTCCCACTTGTTGATTCTTCACAAAAAATTACAGTTTTATATCTTTATGTTTGAAGCTTGAAATGTGGCAAAAGGTCGCAAAGTTCAAGGGGGCCGAATACTTTCGCAAGGCACTGTACATTACAAGGTGCGTTCCAGTAAAACATAAAAATAATAAAAAATATTAAAAGCAGATAAAACACATCTACACAATAAAATAACAGCAAAAATACATAATCAAACAAATACATCAATCAGTAAACTTGTTAAAAGCCAGTGAATACAAATGCAAGACACCGTGTCCTAGTCAAAAGACGAGCTGGTGCATTTTGTACCAACTGGAGCCGGGACAATAAGGCTTGAGAAATGCCAGTATACAGTGCATTCCAATAATCAAGTCTAGAGCTAATAAAGGCATGAATTGCCTTTTCAAAATCACCAAAAGAAAGAAAGTGTTTAACCTTAGCCAAAAGTCTCAGATGAAAAAAGCTGGCTTTGACCACAGATTTTTTCTGTTCATCCAGTTTAAGAGCACCATCAAATACCACCCCAGGATTCCTCACATGAGGCCTCAGGTAGGGGGCTAAAGAGCTAGGAACATCAGAATTAGTGACACCAGAGTTACCAATTAAAACACATTCTGTCTTACCTTCATTAATATGTAAGAAATTATGTGATAACCAAGCCTTAATGTCCCTCAGGCAATCTATCAAGGTCTGTAATGAGTTGCTCTTCTTGACATTCAATGCAGATAAGTTTGAATATCATCTGCATAGCAGTGAAAAGACAACCCATATTTCATAAAAACTGATCCAAGGGGAAGTAAATATAAAGAAAAGAGGACTGGCCCAAGGATGGATCCCTGAGGAACACTACAGTTCAGAGGAACAACAGAAGAAGAGAACTCATCAGTGTACAGAAAAACTCCTATCAGACAAATATGATTCAAACCATTTAAGAACAACACCATGAAGTCCTACAGACTGCTGCAGACGAGACAATAAAATACGAAGGTCCACTGTGTCAAAAGCAGCCAAAAGGTCTAAGGGAATCAGTATTTCCTTCATCCACAGTCAACAAAAGATCATTAAATACCCGCAACAGTGCTGATTCGGTACTGTGGTGTGTCTCAAAACCAGACTGGAACTTTTCAAATATCCCATTTTTTCTCTAAAATCTTAAACAAAAAGTGGTAACTTAGAAACTGGTCTAAAATTCGATAAAACAGTAATATCAAGACTGGGTTTTTTAAGAATTGGTTGAACTGCTGCATGTGGAAACAGCCTACTTCTGTCCAAAGATAACAAAATCTATCAACAACTCTAAAGCTCAAAAATGACAATGTTATATGTTAAGCTGTTCAAATAAATAAATAAAAAACACATACCATGTGCTGTAAGTTAACCAGCTAAAGGTGGTAGCTATTTTCCATGCAGTTCACATTTTAATTCACATAACATTTGACTTATAAAGGTGCTGTTATTAGTGTTGTGGCTACTGTTGTTGTTTTTTTCATCAACATCATTATTATTCAAAGTGAAATGAGTAGTAGTCTTAATAATAGCACTAGCGTAGCGTAGTAACAGAACCACGACAAAGACAGTCAAATCATTATGATACTGCTGTGAACTATTTAAAACACTGCCATTCAGCTGTTTCTCTCTGTCTTTACAGCTCACCGAAGCTGAAGATGCTCTCCCAGGCAGCAATGTAACGTCCCCAGTAGGGCAGCAGGTTGCGACTCCACCTGGGCATCACCATCACAGCCATGCTGTTGGAGAACATCTGGGTTATGGAGCTGATGAAGTCTTGCGTACCTGCAGGGATTTCCTTCTCCAGACACCCAAGTCGAGTCTCAAAGAGAATGGACGCGATAGCTGTGTGGCAGAGTGAAGAACGTTTAAAGGAGCACTCATCACTATTTCAGTGTGCAGATTTAACTATTTTTCAGATTTTTTCTATACCCTCCAGTGAAAATTGATAGAGCTCATTGGCCATGTTGGTCACTAGGTCTCCTGTTGGACTGGACTGGCGCAGGTAGTAAATCCTCTTGGTGAAGTCTGTAACCACATCATTGATTACCCCACCATACTGGGCAGAGTCCTTTGGATGCAGCATGCACTTGTTCAGTGTCGCCCTCAGGAAAACCCCTCCCTGGGAGCAGACAGGGATGAAAAACATGCTTTCATGCTTGCACTGCTGGACACATGACAGTACTTTGCCTTGGAAATTCCTTCTGTAATTACTACTAGTTTTATGAGGTGTTGTTTACACATGGGACATCATTTACAAGTAACAGAAAGGGAGCATTGCTGTGCACATCATGCAGTATGTGGCAGTCTTACACTGTGAAAGGCCCATAGCCGAATCCTTTCATATCTCGAACATCTTTCCACAGGGACATGTCTCCTCGGCAAGGGAAGCTGTCGTCGTTCCTCAAGACTTCCTCCAGTAGCTTTGGAGTGTTCACAGACACCAATTTTAGTCCATCTCTATATATGGGCCCATATCGCTGCTTCTCATAGATCTGGTGGTAGACAGAGGGAGCACATGGCAGATGACTTTACACAGAATCCTGTGTGTAGACAATCTTAAAATGGATGAGGGAAGAAGAAGAAATACAAGAAAGGGAAAAGGTGCTAACATCAGCAATGTTTGAATGTCTGTCTCATCCGTCACAGTGTTGTGTAAACTAAAAAAAAGAGTGAGTGTGTGACTGAATGTTGTTCACCTCATTAAAAGTGGTTTTTCCTCAAGTGCTAAACAATTCTTTCCTCTGTGGGGGCAAGATGAAACTAACTGCTGTTGTCTGGAGGTTTCTATGGGAACAAAGGTGATGCAATCTGCCTGGCATTTTCTGTAGCAAATTGTTCCTGGGGCAAATGCAACCAGAACAACAGAATCAAAACATACCCCTGCCCCTACATTTCTCAGCAGGTCAGCTCAGCAGCCATCCATCTATCCATCCATTTTCCATACAGCTTAGTCCCAAATGGGGTCACGGGGGGCTGGAGCCAATCCCAGCCAAGAGGCGGGGTACACCCTGGACAAGTTGCCAGTCCATTGCAGGGCTAACACGCAGACTAACAATCACTCACACACACAATCACTCCTACGGGCAATTTAGAGACACCAATCAACCTATGCTGCATGTCTTTGGACAGTGGGAGGAAGCCAGAGCACCTGGAGATAACCCACACAAGCACAGGGAGAGCATGCAAACTCCGCACAGAAAGGCCTCGGGTTGGCCGGGGCTCGAACTCGGAACCGTCTCGCTCAGCAGCCAGAGCAGACAAATTATTTTAGAAATTCTGGAATGCATCAGAGCATATTTTGATGCAGACTAATGCAACACTGTGGCAGATTCCTGATGAATATGTAAATATGATTCAGCCAGAGACTGTGCAGAGCAGTGTACTGCAGCCTGACATACTGTACCTGGAGCTCATGCAAACGGTTGTAGAAACCCTGAAACACCATTCTGTAAAGCAGCTCCAAGAAGCTGACGTGTGGAAGGTCTTTTACTGTCCGAGGCTTGTCCTGGAGGACAGGCAGGGCGCCCAGGGAAGGGAAGGTGCTAACCGGCCCTCTGGAGCACACTTGGACCATGGCGATAGGGCAACGCAGCAGCAAACTGCCCTTCCTTTTCACTATACTCTGGGACAGCCATGCAGCCATGATGAAAAACAGATCAACCTAGTCAGGCTACCGTTGCATCCAAAATATCATCTAAGCTCAGGGGGGATGGGCCAAGTTTTATAAAAGGTTAACTCTTTCAGCCCAGCTCTCTGGCCCCATTCTATACATACAAATGTTTAGCAAGCTTAAACTGCTTAAAAACAAAACAAAACAAAACAAAAAAACATATTTACAGTAGTTGTTGTATATGATGACAAATATCAGCTCTTTGCTTGGAGGAGAATAGGATTCAGGAATGCTTTGTGATAAGAGTAAATTAAAAGAATAAATTTTCTGATATGTGCATGGGATGATAGATTAGAGTTGGAGGGTACTGCCTATGAATTTCCTTTTTGATAAAGTTTATAGTTAGGGCTGGGTCAGGTGACCCTGAGCCTTCCCTTAGTTATGCTGCTATAGGCCTAGGCTGCTGGGGGGCCCATGTAGTGATGGTCCTCTGAAACCCGAGGCTCCGACACATGCACAGTAGCTCATGAAGCCATTGTATTGAACCAGTGTGCCGAGGCATATTTTGGTAATGTGACTAGTGACGTTTGAATCACTTGAGGGACGTCTGAAGCAGTTGGGTGCGTCCGACGTCATGCGAATCAGCTGATTGGTTCGGTTTGTCCTGTGAATCACTTTGCGGAATAGAGTGTGTTCAGAGACAGGATATCTCTATTTAGTGGTGTTCATTTGAATCTGTCTTTGCAGAGCAGGTTGGTTTGTTGCTGTTGTTGCCGTTAGTTGCTTTGAGAGTTAGTGTTGTAGCAGATTGTGTATTTAGTGGAGAATCAGTGTAGACAGAGAAATAGATCGATAGATAGTTAGATGAATAGTAAGTTAGAGAGAAATAGATAAAGTAGTTACATAACACTAGATATAGTTAATCAAATCAAATCAAATCAAATTTTATTTGTATAGCACCAAATCACAACAAAAGTCATCTCAGGACACTTTACAAAGTAAGGTCTAGACCTTACTGTTATCAATATTATTACATAGGGAAAACCCAACAAATCCCCCTTGAGCAAGCACTTGGCGACAGTGGGGAGGAAAAACTCCCTTTAACGGAAGAAACCTCCGACAGACCC